AGTATCAAGTCTGTTTAACCTATTCCTCTGGGTCTCTGTGAATCTGTCTTTATCAGTCTTACTTCACCTTGTTGGCAGAAAATTAAAACAACTACTATTAAGCACATTTTTATTATTAAGATACGTTAAAACTTTATCTCTGCAGCCATCTTGTTTCTTTTTTATCTGTAACACTGTGCACGGAACTGCTATAGTAGTAGATCCATGGACAGTGGATCTGATCTGGTTTTATATTTAACCCTTGAGATATATATATTGTTTGGGTTTTCTACTTACTGTCATTTTAGCACTCTAGATATGGAAATATTTGCAAAACATTAATTAATGTCTTAATTTGCTGTTTTTAGATGTGGACTTGGCAGCTATTATGGAACCATAGGAGGTTCATACACATACTTCAGTCCACAACTGAAAGTCAAAGAAAGATACATTCCTCCTGGAAAGAATTTTTATACTAATCCAGGAAAGAAAGGAACTGGATATGGGTAACTTCACAATATTGCTTCTTGCAGAGTATTTTATTAAATGTTTCTTGAGTTTTGAACACCTAAGTAATTAATTTTGTTTTTACAGTTATGCAAACGTTACCATAGGTGATCCATATCCACATGAACCTGATGGATATGAAGTAGAAAGAATAAATGCAAAGGTAAAAATATTTATCTTTATTATATATTAGTGTTATGATTATTTATTACAATTTACATGAACTTTGTGTTCCCTGGGGTGTTTCCTTTAGCTTGAAATCACTAATGTTTATTTACAAAGCGGAGGAACGAAAACAAATTTATGACCATCCTGTATAAAAAAGATTTAGGTATTGTTAATTTATTATTTTTCCTTTGAGACATCTGGTGGTATCCCACACAAGTTCTACCATTCAGGATTTGACCTTAATTTTTTATTTGGAGACCTTAAGCTACAATGCAATAACAACAAAACAATGCCAATAGCAAGAACAGTAATACTTCTATGTTGCTGTCATCAGAAGAATGGGACCTCATTATCCTAGATGCTAAAAAAAAAAACCTGTTCCTTTTTTCATATACGTTCATAAATCTAAGTAAACTCATCAATTTGCTTGCCCTGATTTTAGTTATCCTGTATATTTTCATCATACGTAGTGAAAAATGTCAGCAGGAGGACATTTTTTGGTCTAGGGTAAGAACAAGATTAGAAGAAACAATTCAGCTACCTGCAGTTGAGACAAATTCAGAGTCAAAACTAAGTGTCCAGTGCAGAATCACAGAATGGTAGGAGTTGGAAGGGACCTCTGAAGATCGTCTGATCCAACCCCCCTGCCAAGGCAGGATCACCCAGGGCAGGTTGCACAGGAATGCGTCCAGTCAGGTTTTGAAGGTCTCCAGAGAAGGAGACTCCACAGCCTCTCTAGGCAGCCTGTTCCAGTGCTCTGTCACCCTCACAGTAAAGAAGTTTTTCCTCATGTTGAGGTGGACCTTCCTGTGCTGCAGTTTGTGCCCATTGCGCCTCATCCTATCACTGGGCACTACTGAAAAGAGACTGGCTCCATCCTCCTGACAGCCACCCTTCAGATATTTGTAGACATTGATAAGGTCCCCTCTCAGTCTTCTCTTCTCCAGACTAAACAGCCCCAGGTCTCTCAGCCTTGCCTCATACAAGAGATGTTCCACTCCCTTAATCATCTTCGTAGCCCTCCATTGGACTCTCTCCAAAAGTTCCCTGTCTCTCTTGAACTGGGGAGCCCAGAACTGGACACAGTACTCCAGATGAGGCTTCACCAGCACAGAGTAGAGGGGCAGGATAACCTCTCTCGACTTGCTGGTCACACTCTTCTTAATGCACCTCAGGATACCATTTGCCCTCTTTGCCACCAGGGCACATTGCTGTCCCATGGATAACTTATTGTCTACCAGGACTCCAAGGTCCTTCTCCATGGAGCTGCTTTCCAGCAGGTCAACCTCTCACCTGTACTGGTGCACGAGGTTGTTCCTCCCCAGGGGCAGAACTCTACACTTGTCCTTGTTAAATTTCATGCGGTTCCCCTCTGCCCAACTCTCCGGTCTGTCCAGATCCCATTGAATGGCAGCACAGCCTCCTGGTGTATCAGCCACTCCTCCCAGTTTTGTATCATCAGCAAACTTACTGAGGGTACATTCCAACACTTCATCTAGGTCATTGATGAAGATGTTGAACAAAACCGGACCCAGTACTGATCCCTAGGGAACACCATTAGCTACAGGCCTCCAACAGGACTCTGTGCTGCTGACCACGATCCTTTGAGCTCTGTTGCTTAGCCAGTTCTTGATCCATCTTAGAGTCCACTCTCCAACCCATACTTCCTGAGCTTCACTATGAGGATGAGACAGTATCAAAAGAGGGAGACAGTATCAAAAGCCTTACTGAAGTCAAGGTAAACTACATCCACTGCTCTCCCTTCATCTACCCAGCTAGTCACTCCATCATAGAAGGCTGTCAGGTTGGTCAAGCACAATCTCCCCTTGGTGAATCCATGCTGACTACTCCTGATAGCTTTCTTTTTATCCATGTGCCTAGAGATGGCCTCCAGAAGGAGCTGTTCCATCACCTTCCCAGGGATAGAGGTGAGGTCTGGGATTCCTGAGGAGTAGTCTTAGCAGTAAAGACTGAAGTGAAAAAGGCATTCAGTAACTCTGCCTTCTCTGCCTCCTCTGTCACCAGGGCTCCGACTTCATTCACCAAAGGTCCCACATATTCCCTAGTCTTCCTTTTACCACTGATACACTTGAAGAAGCCCTTCTTTTACTTCACCAGATTTAGTTCCAAGAGGGCCCTGGCCTTCCTTGTTGCATCCTTGCATATCCTGACAACATTCCTATAGTCCTTCCAAGCGACCAGTCCCTTTTTCCACCTACTGTAAACTCCTTTCTTCCATACAAGTTTTCCCAACATCCATGGGGGTCTCTGCCTCCTCTACTTGATTTCTTACTCAAAGGAATGCACCGATCTTGAGCTTTGAGGAGGTGGTGCTTGGATATTAACCAACTCTCTTGGGCTCCTCCGCCTTCTAGGGTCCTAGCCCATGGGATACCTCCAAGTAGGTCTTTGAAGAGGACAAAGTTAGCCTTCATGAAGTCCAGGGTTGCAATCTTACTTATCGCCCTGCTTCTTCCTTGTTCAGTACAGAACTCCACCATGTTGTGATCACTACAGCCAAGGCTACCCACAACCTTTACATCCCCAACCAGTCTTTCCTTGTTTGTTAATACAGCACATGAGAGGAACAGAGAAAAGAGGGAGGTGTTTCCACTGGATAGAAGAAAAGGAGACGTTGGCATGAATTACTTGGTGATACTGTATGCTTGTCTTTTAATTGTTCATAATGTTTTAACCTTTCTTATTTTAAAATACAATCTTAGAGAATAGGGGAGACTAGTCAACATCTCACATGGTACAAAGAACCAACTCCTAGAAAAGCTCAGCTTAGTAAGGTGCTCAGAATCTGGGAAACGTAGTGGCCAGGGTTCACAAGTGTGAGCAGCTGGGGTGCATGCAGACATAATTTTCAAGCATGTATGTATGCATGCATGTATGCTGAAAATACAGGTATACAATACTGTTAGCCACATCTTAAGTGGACAGTGCTTTTCCTGACCATACTTTGATAGTGATTGTTGTGCTTCCTGGTCAGTGAATCTATGTTCCATTGTACTTGGCGGGTATATAAAGTACCTCAATCATCAAACAAGAGCAAAGAAAGTTAGAACATTCTCCAAGACTAAATTTAAATGCTTTCCATTTTTCTCTTAGAATAACATACAGTGAAAATCCTCAAGATTGTTTCTTTCAAAGTATTTGTTTCACAGAAAGCGCAAGAGGAACATACACGGTTGCTTAAAGGAGGGCCTTTCAAGTTAAATCTATATCCCCAGGAGTATTTTGACATGAATCCCTATTTTAGTGACAAACCTTTGCCACCTGTGAAGAAACCACCTTCAAAGAAGCCAATTGCACCACCTTTCAAACCAAGTTCCCCTGCTAAAAAGGTTAGTTTGTCTTCTAGCTACTGGAGACAAAAGATAAGTATTCAGATACTTCCTGTTAAAAGCTTTGCTTACAGTACATAAGATAGAAATAAATGTTTGGGTTTGCTATTGATTTCTTATTTTTATTACAAAATATATTATTCCATTTACTTTGTTTTCAATTTACAAAGCAATGAAATCTTTGTATCAAACAATGAAAATGCTTGACCCAACAGCAACTGCTAACCAGTTTCCAGTAACCTAAAAAGTGTTTCTCTTTAAAATCTGCATAATGCTGTTAACATACAGTTAATTGACTGCATACGCCACAAAAAGATACAAAGCAGAAGGATATGCAATAAATGACAGTAAGACTAGATTACAGTAGCAAAATTCAATGCTGTCCTATTTTGGACTCTGTAAGTCACTTGTAATTTTTGAACCTGCTAGTTACTCTCATCCAAACATAGATAAACATCTAAAAGATAATTCCTAGAAGAGTCATGGGAATGGATAGCTGGAAAGAGCAGAAAAACTCAGGTTAGTCCCTCTGCTCAGGGACAGGCTGCAGAATAAACTCAGGATTTATCTGTTGCTTGTCCATCAGCAGACAGACATTAGGAATAGATATATGTGGAAGAGCTTAGAGGGCATAAGAAATAAAGCCTGGAGTTAGTATGAGGGATATATAGGAACATAGTTCATTAGTCCCAGTTGCTTAACATCATTATTTCTTAAAATCTAAATAGTTATTTTTCCATTCCATGAAGCACTCCATCTTGATATATTTTTTTGAGATGTGATACTAAATTTATCCCACTCACCTTAGGCTAAACCTTAATTTCACTTTGAAATGGGTTTAAGATGCATCTATCTCTCTCTCAAATGACTCCAGATACCTAATACAGTAACACCCCTTAATTTGTCACTTTTCATCTCTTCATTTTGGAGTTCCATTGTCAATCTTTTAATATTGTACTTTGCTAACCGCTATTTTCCTGTTGTTATTATGTCCTTCACCCTTGACTTATTTGACTGACATTGATTCATCTGAGGAAGATGATGATAATAAGGAAAATATAACTATTCAGAAAGAGACAGCAAAAGTGCTTACACAGAAATAATTGTGTTGGGTGTTTGGCCTCATAGATGAGGCAGCTGAGATCTTTCAGAATGGAAACCTATTCAGAAAAGTTAGCTGCTAGAAAGTCAGCACCTCATCTGGCTGACAGTGCTGATGGTCCTGCTCCAGGCTCCCCATCCTTCACACCATATATGCTTTCCCTGTATGTTTAAATTATGTGTACTTCACAAGCTACTACACACTTTCCCTCTCTGCTATATAAGTTCTTATGGGAAAAATAGCTTTATTGTTGATTGAATTGCTTACTGCTGCGCTTTTCTGGAACGCAGCTTCAGCAGACTATGGGGTTTAGCTGTATTAGGGGATTGCAAGGAATTAATCAAGTCTCTGCATGTATCTTAACTGAAATTTGCCGCTCTTGAAATACTACTGGACAAATGTTTCAGGAAATGTCAATGCTGTATTCAATCCTCTATGTCAGAAAGCATATTGATAATAATGCCCAAGCCCTGCTGTACGTAACAATCCCTACAACAGTACTGGACATGGAGGTGTACTAGTAAGCTAGTGGTGACATAGGAATTCCCTTTTTTGCCACAACATAGGTCATTTCAGTGACTTATGTTTTTACTTTTTCTGTCACATTTTTGAGATTATTTCCTCAAAATCTAGACTCATGAAAGAACATTTAAAACTTAAGAATTCATCAAAATAATGACTAAAATTTTCCTTAAAGTTTCCATTGCAAATTTAAGGAATATTTGTGGTTTTGTTTTTTATATAATATGATGCAGTCTGCTATGTGGTATTCTTACTTGCTTTTGCATGAAAAATATTTTAATTAAATCAATTATATTGTAGATTGGCACTTTGAAAAGTTCTTTTTTTTTTCAGTCAGGAGGCATGAAAGGAGGCACTTTTGATCCTTATCCAAGCCATTCCACTGACCCTTATGTAATTAAAAAATCTAAAGCTGTCACAACTAATAAAGAACGACAGGTTTTTCATCTTCCTTCTGGACCAAAAAGCAGACCTGTTACAAGCATAATCACTTTAAATGTCAGAAGGTAAGCTCCTTTAATTTGAGTTCATGTCATGTATGCTGTCTACCAAAAGTCATTAGCACAGCTGTTTATTACTGTCTCAGATAATTGAATAAATGAAGGAATGAATTATTAACAAAAGGATAAGAAATGTATAAGGAACTTGGCTTTCAAAATTGATTCCTGCTCTCTTCTGTAAATTCAGATTACTTTGTAAGGCTGTACGTATCATAGAGACCTTCAAAATCATGCTATAACAGATGTTACTGAAAAGTTGTTATTTTTTATTCTTTTCTGACTTGATAATGTAAAAAGACCAGGAATGTTCCCATCAAAAACAAAGTCTGTTTTTGCTTTCTCTTCTATTTATGGAATAAAATTGGCTCCCTCTGCTGGCAAAAATTATAGTAGGTAATCTAAACGTGTGAAGCTGTTGAAACAATGGCACTCAGATTGGATTCCTAACTACAAATATGTCACTTTGCAATGTTAGAAGAGATTTATAGTACACAGTGTCTGTATATAGGTAGATAAGCACAGAATTCTTTACTTTTTTATCTTTCTAAGCTATAACCGTTATCTTTAAACAAACTTAGTTTCTGGTGTTGGCTCTGTTGTAACTCAAGCAGAAAATCAAGACTGTTCTTTAGAGTTATTTAGAGAAATCACTTTCAAATGCAGACTTCTGAGATTGCATGTAGAACAGTTAAGCATATTATTTTGCATACTCTGTGAGCAACATTAAATATTTTAGAAATACTTGATTAAAATTCGAAAAACTGTCTTAGAGGAATCTGCTTCACATTTGTGATTTGTCTTTACATATCATATGTGAAGTCTAAGAAATACACCTCCCTTATTCACCTGTTGGTGTTCTATTTACTTTATTTTGCCACATATCGGCATTTGCATAATCACTTCTTAAGTTGCAGAGAGAGTTTGAACTTTTTATTTACACTGACAAGGCAGAACCAGAAGCTACATATTACTCTACATTGCTTTTCATTACTAATAGAAAATAAGAAAGAATTGAAAGTAACTTTTTGGTACACCAAAAAGCATGGTGACTACCAACACCAAAGTACAACCTTCCATGCATGCACTGGTGTTTTTAAACTAGTAAAAGGGAAAAAAAATGGCATATTGGTCTGTGTACCTTTCTTATCAGTGTAATTGTATTATTTTCAACAGAACAAAAATTTATGCTCATAAATGAAATGTTTTTGTTGGAAAATACTCCTAACTGTATGTGAAGTAGCTTTCAAAATGGAAAGGGGGGGACTGATGGTGAAGTATCACTCTGTATGCACAGATACAGTTATGATGGAGTCATTAAAAATATTTGTAAAGAGAAAAAATTCACATATCCAACAGAAATTGCACAGAGAGGAATTAAAAGTAGTGTTTCAAATTCTCCACTACTATTTCCCTCCTAAGAATTTTAAAGAATGTATTTATTTTTGGTTCATTATTCCTAGGTTTAACAGAATGAGAAATGTGAACTGAATTTATTATAAGTATGAAGCTTATAGCTCATAAATTTTAAGAAGTGTGGTAAGACATTTTTCAAATCATCTGCTTCCCCACTGAATTACAGTTCTTTATGTACTTTCCAATGGAAAGCTAATCTTCTGATATTTGGACCATAATCCTATAATTGGATTTGTTACTGTAGATTCTTGCTCTCACGCACAGCTCTATTGAAATCAATTCGACTTCACTAGGATGCAAGTCATTAAATCTAATTACAGGACTGGGTGTGCCACAGTTCTTCATTTTTAAAAAAAACTCTTGTAATTTGTACAGTGATATTCTACAAAAATCTAACAAGTTTATCTTCATTTACATTTCAGATCATTAAATATAAAGAACTACAAGACTGCACAGCTGACATCTTATTAGGTACAAAAGGTGAAATGAAGGGTACACCTTTTAGACTCTGTAAACTGTTAACAAAGCAAATAAAAATGTTGAAAAGTGGAATTCAAGTATATAGGGCAATCCAATCTGTTTAATTATTGAGAATGCAATCTTTTGTTTCTAAATATAAAGCTATAATAAATAATTTAAGATAATTTATTTATTAAGTCTAGGGTTGTATTTTTATATACATTTTCATCTTATTGCTTAACAAGACTTTTGAAATGTACTTTAGAAAACATACTTTCTAATGAGTAATTTGGGTTGCATATTGACTATATATTGCAGTGGAAGGAAGTGCATATATTTTAAAATGAATACCAGTGTATGTATTAACCAAGTCAAGTCACGTGTGGCCCACAATGAAACTAAGGTCATTGTTTCCCTTTTGTAGAATTACAACTTGTACTTTATTTCAACTATAATCTTGTGTAAGAACTCTCTTAAAAGTAGGTAATTTTTAGTTTTGATGACCTTCTCAAAATGACTAATATCAAGCATTGCTCAAAACCAAACCCCAAAGAGGCCGTTATGGAGTTATCTCTATTTACCAGCATCTACTTACTGCTCTTCCCCAATTTTCTGACAACCGTTAAGCGCTGCCATGTTCTCCAAGAGCAGCTTAATTTCACTTTGTGTACATGGAAGGTTCGTAACAAATCTGATCCTTCTCTCAAACTAGCTTCTTCTCAGATGGAACTGTGATCCTAAATGTACACCTTACTTCCATCATAATAATTTTTGTCAGGTTTCTATATGTGGTCCAAGAAATTTGTTCATTTAAATTAGAGCTCATTTGTTATAAAAATTGAAAAAATACTCAGCATTTATTTATCCAAATTAGTACCTGAATTTCTTTATTCATTTTTACTAAAGATTTATTGTAACGCTGCAGAATATTCATGAATTCATGGTATCCTTACTAGTGTTCACAGGATAATAGCTTTTTAAAGAAACTCTCCACTGGATCTCACATTTCCCAGCATCAATGAAAATAAAACTAAAACCAAAACCGAGAATTGTTGGTCAAGTCTTCCAGCATGTGTTGAAGGATAAACGCCCTTACCTTGAGATCAACTGTACCCAAAAATATTTAAAAATACTAATTTGTACAAGAATTTTCATGTTTTCTCTATCCAAAGACCCATAGCAGAATTCCTTCTTTCTTTGTTTATACCTTGAGTTAGATAATGGTACTGGTGCTGACCTTAGGTACCTTAGTGTCATCTTTGTACAGAGTATCAGGAGCATTTGCCATGCTGTTCACTTGTGATGTCTGCAGACACAGCGCTCCTAGGTAGATCGAACTGTACTGTTACCTCCTCCTAACTGCTGTTCTGATGTAGTACAGCTGATGAAGACTGCTCTGAAGTTTTTTCTTTATGTCCTTCTGTCTCTTCTCTTTTTGCAATTCTTCCTTCTGTTTTTCAATGATCTTTTCCTTCACTAACAAGATGGAAACACTGAAAGCTGGTTAAAAAGTATTGCGCTTAGTTTAGAGGGGAAAAAAAAAATCAATCCAGCTTGTTTGAGAAGATGTTAGTGTGTGTGGACTAGCCTCATGTGGTCATCATGGGAGCCAATAACTTCTAGTAAGTCCCTACCAGAAAATGTGTAGTCCCAAGGAGGTGACACCCAATTCTAGGTAAGGCCTCAGTATGCTGTTTTAATACAAATAATAATTGTGTCCCTTGCCTTCTTGGCAGTACCTTTGACTGTGATGGTGGAATTTAGATGTTTCCTAAATTTCCTTACCCAGTTATCTAAGGTACGGAAAACATTAGACATTACTTACATTGTTTTCATAATAATAGCCTCCCTGCATCCTTACAGTATAGATATAGCCAGTCACCTTTATAACTAATTTTGACCACAATTTAATAGTTACCATCTGAAGCAACTTCATGTTCATGCAAGTGTTAAATGCAATTAAACACCTAGCCATCTACTCAATAGCCCAAGTATTTACGATTTTAATGTCCTTATTGACTTTGGGTGCACAAAGCAAAATTGTGGCATAATACTTTTGCCTATCTCCAGTAAAAAAACGCAACAAACACTTTTGTATTTTAAAACATTTCTATAGAAAAAAGCATTACGAACTAATGTAGAGCTTTAATGCAGTTTTCACTCATTCTACTATGTGTATCAGTATTGATACCAAAAAATGCTCCGCTACATTTACAGTCTTGTATTACAAACCAGATAATTCTTAATTGGCTGCAATCAGTCTTTATGAATTACTGGAGAAATAGGAAGAATGGATTACTTTTATACAGTAATAGTCTCTGAAGAGATCATGCCTTTATTGGCCAGGAGCTTGTACACCTCGTGTTATACTAATAGGAAAGCAAAGATAAATAATTACCTAAGTCTGTTTTGGAAACACCAATAACTAATTACACAGTCTTACGTTCATGGATTTATTTATTAAGGAGTGGGTGAAAAAAGGAGTTCCTAAAAAACCAGTCCTAATAGTGTTGTAGAAATACTGCATACAGGCAGCTTCAACTTCACAGAATATTACAGGCAGTATTTTTTAGAAATTCTTCCTCCCCATGGTCCCTTCACTGAGAAAACTGGAGTATTTGTGCAGTAATTATATCCAAGAGGATAATTTTTGTGCCTTTCATAGCTATGACCATGTTCTCTGAATATGTTTACACTGAAAATGTTAAAAGTCATGTTTTAGCTAATAAGCTTTCTAAGTCAGTATCTAGTATAAAGAGATAAAGGGTACCTTGTGTTGATTAAACATAGAACAGAATTAGATGTCATCTAAAACACACTTAAATGTAGATTAAACTTAATTTAGGACTTCTTGCAGAAATAATCAGTGAAATGTTGTGGCACGTATTAAGCTTCAGCTAAAAAGTCATTAAGATTCCCTTCTGACTCTGAAATCCTAGGGACAGAATTCTATCTCCTTTAAACTGTCTCAGTTTCATTAAATTTCTTTATACTACTTACATTGTGTAAGGATCTGCTTTTGTGAATCTGAAATTCGGCCAAGTATCAAAAAACGCAAGCAATTCTTCTTAAAACATACCAAAACATGGAAAGGACTGGACATCAGAATTGTAAAGAAAACTTTTATTACAATTTGTTTGAAGCAATAGACTGTTGTATATTATCAGGAATTGCCTGGAAAAGAAAATCAGCTAATAAGATATTGCAAAATAAAGCTCATACCTTATGAATCATATTCCAAAGCTTACTTAGGACAGAAATTTCTGAATATTCCACTAGAACTTGTACGGAGTAACAGTTATGTTGCATGATACCAGAACTGTAACCAGGTTTTCTTTGCCCACAAACTAGAGCTGTAGCTTGGCGTTGGAGTTAAATATAGTCCTTACGGAAATGGCAGAATTCAAACTCTAATACATCTCTCTCATTTTCAGTAGTCCACAGGAGATTTTCTAATAGTAAGTGTTCTTCGGTCACTTTTCTAATGTCACTTTCACATTTGGAAGCATCTTGTCTATGTTCCTTCGGTTCCGTCTTAAGTAACTGATTTTCCTCTGTGATGTTTGTTACTGCTGTTGATAACCTCTTGCATTCTCCATTTGTGCTGGTCAAGTTAGACTTTGAAAGATCAATATCTGCTGTTGCATTTCTGAGCTCAGTCATGAGTTTATTTTCAGTATAAGATGTATCTGATTGGAGTTTCTCAAAGTCCTTCTGCAGCATCTGTTTAGTATCAGAACACTCCTGCAGGGTTATTTCAAGGTTAAGTTTTCTGGCTTCCAGTGTTTGCATTAAATGAAGATTAATTTCCAATTCGTTATTTCGCTGCATTTTCTTTCTCTTTTATTTGTTGCTTTTTACTCTGATTTCTTTCAAGCTCCCGCTCTAATGAACTATTTTCTTTTGGCAGTTGGCATATTTCTATCTTAAGTTTTTTATTTGTTTCGTTTAACTTGAAACATTCCCTTTTCAAGAACTTTAGGCTTGCATTGACCCTCTCTTTCACAGGTAACAGCAGTCATCTTTTCTTCTACTTTCTGGTTCCCAATTTGAAAGTAATGTGTCTATTGAATGTTGGTTTCCATTATAGAGCTGATTCCTTATTTTCTCAAGGATGTTTTTCTGATTTTGGAGTTCTTTACGTTTTAAGAAGTTCTTTGCATTCTTAATACAGTCCTTGTTATCTTCTTTTGATTTAACCAACTGGATTTGCACACTTTTCTTCAGCTAAATCCTTAATTTGTGTATTACATTTCAATATTTTTTTTTTCCGAAGACTGTATGGTAACAGTAAGGGGTTCCACTTTGTTCCTGAGAGCTAAATTTTCATTTGGAAGATGTATTGTTTTTTGCAAATGCTCAGACTTTTTCAGGGACTTTTGCAATGCTTCAATTTTGCCATCATGGTCAGAGGCTACCTTGATTTCACTGAACTTCTGATTTCCTGCCCTCAGTAACATTTGATTTGATATAGTGTGTTGTTCTTGTTCTTTTTCTAGTTTCTTGCTCTTTGCTATCAAGCATTAGTAGCTTATCTTTCACCATCTCGGAAAAAGAATTAACCTAGAATCTGTCACCTTCACTGTAACTGATTCTAAATTCTTTATATACATTTTTGCTTTGAGATTCTGCTTTTTCACTGAAAATTGTTGTAGGAGAACCACCCCATACATTGGCACATTTGGCACATTATAAAATTCTTGATCAAAAGGTAGGCCATTTTCTTTAAGTGGAACTAAACCAACATGTGTTTCACCTAAAGAGGTCACAATTTCTGCACTTTCTTTTAAGTTATTTAATTTTTCTCTGTATAAAGTAAATGTCTTAAATTGATTAAGTATATCTCCAGCCAAGGAACGATGACTTAAGGAAGACTATCGTTTGTCTTTGATTGTTTCTGTCACCCCAGTCTCTATGACATAAGGGCAAACTGGAGTTCACATTAAATATACACAGCAAAAGTAGGGTTTATGCAGCATGTCATAGGAGAGGGACAAAATTTATTCCCTGTC